TTTGCAAAGCAGATCTGCTAGCTGTACTTACGAGCAATACCATACTACCAAATCTATAGACGCCACCAGAAACTAAGTTGAGATTTGCTCAGAGAAAGGGTAGCTGATACGAAGTCTGTCATTCACAAGTGAAACTGCTTACGATTAAAAGCTTCTGTACTGTTAGGCATCCCTGAAGATCTCTTGGCCATAACAGTGACTGGAGGAGTCTGTTGCATCAATTAGCTTCAGTGCAAGGAGTGGTAGCCTACTTAACTGAAGTAGGCTGAAATAGCTTACTGAAATAGCAATGTTTTCCTGCCTCTCAATGGTTGACTGTCTCAGTATCCACAGTCTCTTCAGAAGAGAGATTTGATGCCTATAAAACCTCAGAGCTATTATTGGAGTTAAGAGGCTTAAAAGTGCCTAGGGATCTTCTCTCTTCAGTCTGCTGCCAGTCTCCAGGGTGTGTGCTTTAGAAGTCCTTACTGCAGCATCAATTTAGAAAGACCTAGCCAAGAGAGGAAAAAATGCTTAAAGGTGGACTCTTGCTTCTGGCTTTTTCAGGATAATCTGCCACACAACCCAGCACAGCCTATTCACACAGATTGTGGTCCTAATAACCTCAAGTATTTTACGGAGCTAAAAGAATAATAGTTTCCTTGGCATATTTTTTTAAACAAATCCCTTAATCTTGTGCACAGCCATTTGGGATATCCTTAACTGGTCTTCTATGTCCATTACCTGCTAAGGAGTGTGTCCTGATATCCTCTGGGCCGCTTGCTGTACTCTGGCCTCCTGACTATATTTCTCCAGAAGCGTGGACAGGGATGTTATTCGTTAAAAATATCAAGTACTCAAAGAGGCCCTTTCTTTGTGTGTGATTCAAGAGACACAGTAGGGTATCTTCTACCAGATGTTACAAATGCTCCTTTTGGTGAAGCAAGAATGTCATTCTGTATTGCTTGTCATCAATGATCTTGTCATCAAAAAGGTCCAAGAATTATTGCCACAGTGACTTTTGCAGAAGCTCCTAAATAGTGACAAAGGATGTAGAAGAGGTGCCTTGTCTGCCTTGATTTCTACTGGTGAGATTTGCCCTTGGACCTTTTTGATACCTGCACCTAGGAGCATAATGTCTAGGAGTGAAGCATTATCCACAGTTGAGGAAGATCAAATTGGAATCAGCTGAAGCCCGTTGGGTGTGGGTGCTGAGGGAGTTAGCTGATGTCACTGAAAGGCCGTTCTCTAGCATGTTCCAAGATTGTGGCAACTAGAAAAGGTTCTTGAGGCCTGAAAAAAAAAATACAACCAACCAAACAAACAAAAAAAAATCTCTGGCATTGATTGCATACATTTTTCAAAAGGACAAAGAGAAGGATCTGGGGGATTCCAGCCTAGTTGCTTGCTTCTAGCCCTGGGAAGGCTGCAGGAACAACTGTTTCTCCTGGAGCATGGGAAGGACAAGGGTATTGGGAAAGACTGGCAGGGATTTGCTAAGGGCAGCTCGTGTCTGATCAGTCAGGTTGCCCTCTGAAAGGATGGGCTCTGTGGATGAGAGGAGAGCAGTGCATGGTGTTCTCTTTGACTTCTTTGTAAAGGTCTTTGACACATTTTCTCATAGTCTTGTTTGCACCCAAGTGGCGGTGAGATATGGATTTGATCAATGAACTAAAAGGTGGGATGGAAAACTGGCCAAACTACTGGGCTCCAGGGGTTGTCATCAGCAGTATGAGGTCCAGTTGGCAGCTGGTTACTAGGGACATGCCTCAGCAGTTGGTGCTGGGGCCAGCCTGTTTAACAACTTTCTTAATAAACTGCATGAGGGGATGGAGCATACCTTGGGCAAGTCTGGGGATGATGCCATATTGAAAAGACTGATATACTGGGGTGGAGGGCTACTCTTCAGAGGGACCTCAACAGGCAGGGACTAAGAAGAAACTACTGAAGTTCAGCATAAGCAAATGCCAAGTCCTACCAGTGACTGGAAGGAGCCTGCTAGCAGTGCAGGCTGTGGCTGACTATCGGATAGAGAGCTGTTCTCATTAAAGGCCCTTGGGAGTCGTGATGGGCAGCAAACCGAACTGGAGTCATCTGGGGGGCCTTGCAGCCTCAATCTGGACTGTCTTAGCAAAGGTGTTTTGTCAGTGCCTCTGAGCCTGATGCACCTGGCATCCTATGTCCTGTTTGGAGCTCCCCAGGATAGGACTAGACATTAACTGAACACTGCAAGAAGGGGGGCTGGAGAACAGCACGTATTAGGACAGGTGGCAAGAAATGCCTTGGTTCACCCTGAGGAAGAGACGACAAAGGGGAGCTCTTCTGGATGTCATCCCCCGCCTCATGGAAGGGCGAATAAGTTGCAGAACAGGTCAGTCCCAGAAGATCAGTGGAGCCCTTTTTAACTCAGAAGGTTGTTCTACCTCTGGAATAGGAACCCAGCAAAGCAATGGTATCTACACTCTTGCAATCTTCCCAAATCAACTATACAAGACCTGCAGCAACCTGATCTAGTGGGCTCTGCTTTGAGCAGGTAGTTGGATTGTGTGGCCTCCAGAGGTCCCTCCAACTGAAGTTATTCGGTACTGTTTACTGAAGATCCTGTGGGTTCTGCAAATCATACTTGATGCTGAACCTGCCTTCCCTTCTTAGCAGTGATTGTGATTGTCCCTGCAGTTAGATTCTGTTGTGGAATAACCCCATTTGGAGGGGGAAAAACTTAAACTTGGTCTGTGCATTCATAAAATGCTCTGCTTGTTGAAGGGGCCCTGTAACTATCCAGGGAATTTAAGATGAGCAGAGGTCATGACTTCACTGGCTGCCATCTTTCTCTCCCCTAACCTTATCAAGCAGAAATAGGAGCCTGTATACTTTTAACAGGCCCCTTTTAAAGTAAGATCCTACTTTGACATTACTGTATTGGATCTTCAGGTCCTGGAATCAGTCTTGATTTGTTTTGGCATGAGTGTCTTTACAGTAGCTATTTCCTCATAATAAAGAATAGAAGTAGGAGACATAGACCTAAGATTTTTATGCATCTGTACTTATCTATACTCATATATATCTATATTCTCCTTTGGCATTCTTGGGTCAAGTAACAGGAACCTTTCAGAAAAAGGCACTTTGTTATTTTTATTTTTATTTTTTCCTTATAAAATCAGCAGCACTGGCCAGACTAGCATCTTCTGGAACCTGGTCTTTAATTTTCAATGGGAGTAGTAGTCTAGCTTCCAACCAGATGTCTTAGGCATTGTAGCCTGTAGCCAACCTATTCAATTTTTGAGGTACTGCTTTTGAGCCCCTGACTTTTTCCTCTCTCATGAGATACTGTTTCAGCTTAAAATACAGTGGTTCCTTGATGAAGAGACAGGATCCCCTAGCATACTAGGTTCTACAGCAGCCAAGGTTTGTCTTTTGCAGGAGTGGGGTTTATCTAATTGCAGTCCTCTGAAACGGGACTCTTTTCAGAGGTGCACAATGAAATGATGAGAACCAGCTATCATAGACTGCAGTGAGGAGAATTCTGATTGTAGATGATGTGTGTAAAAACAAACAACAACAAAAAAAAAGCAAAAAACCCCAAACTTCACTGTGGGAGTGAGGCAACACAGGAACAGGTTGCCCTGAGAGGTGGTAGGACCTCTGTCCTTGGAGATTTTCAGAATTTCATCGAGCAGAACCGTGAGCAACTTGATTGGCCTTTGGGGTCACCCCTACTTTGAGCAAGAGATTGAAGTAAAGGCTAGAGAATTCCCTAACAACTTGAACTTTTCTGTGATTAGGAAATCGTGAACCATATGTAGGTTCTCCCTGTCATGAGTCATTGAAGGCTTCCTTTGTACTTCTAGGTTGTACATCAGGACACGCTTTGTGATCTTAAATGTCAAACTAAGTAGCTGAGAAGCTTATGAATTTGATGAATTTTCCCTCAGGTATAGACATATCTGTAAGAAGACACTAAGCCTCTCTTCCCTTCTTCCACACCCTCAAGAGCAGTCTTATATATCATCTTGGTTTAGAGAGCCAGCTTGGAAAAACACAATTTTTAAAGCCCGTGCGCTCATGATTATGGATTCCTGGGGCTCGGGGTTGTTGTATATGTTTGTCTGCCTTCTTATGTCTGGTGACTGTTGGGTTTTTTTTTATTGCAGAAAATATTGCCACACAGATCTTGACTGATAAACAAGGACTCAGACGTGCCACCATGAATACATGAGAACTGCAATGTGTTTAGCTTCTTTTTTTTTTTTTAAAAAAAAAAATAATAACTATTTCTTTTAGTTATGAAGTACTTTCTTTTAGTTTCTTTTAGTTCTGTTGTTTAGACGAATAACAAACGTTACTTTCATAGCTGTGACTTCAGATTGTCTGAGATACTACTTATTAGGTATGGGGAAGAGGAGAAGCATTTGGACTTGCAAAGCACCTAGGTCTGGAGGGAAGTTGTGACTGTGTGGTTTAAAATGGTCTAATCAAACTTAAAATGATCCAGAATTTTCTTCTTTATTTTCAGAACTTTTGTGAATAAAAGTGTTCTCTGTATGTGACAGCAGATATTGTTTAAAGTAGTACCTGGCAGGTGACCTCTCATCTCTGAAATGTACCATTAAATCCCTTTTCCCTCAGTGAATTGAGATGGATTTTTTTGTTTAGGGTAGGCTCATGGAAGAGATGTTATGTTCAAGAAGTGTATCGTTATCTTCTGTTTCTGCTAGGAGAAAAAGGATACTTGCTCTTTTGAAAGTAAGCCTTAATTGTAATACATAGCTTTCGTGTTTGCTCTGTACTGATTTAGTCATGTGTGTTCAGGATCCCCAGTAAAAGCCAACACTGCTGGCTTATGTTCAGCTTGCTGTCTACCAAGGTTCCATCAAAAGAAATGACTTTTCTGCAGTAACTGCCTCAAGCTTAGTTCCCTGTGGGTGTCCACCTCAAAGTTTGTGTAAAATGTGTGTTATAAAAATTATCGAAATGGTTTAGACTGGGACACAACTCATTCTTGACTCTCTTTGTTTTCCAAGGTGGAAAAAGTATGCACAGGCGATCATATGGATGGGCTCCTCTATCCTGCTAAGAGAGTACCACCATTAGTGAAGAGCGATGGAGAGCAAGAAAAAGCATCTCAAAATGTTACTTCTTCAAAAGTGGACCCTTTGTTAAAATCAAGCATGGAAACCACATCTGCTTCACTTAGTAGCGACTTCAAGCAGAAAGTTACCAACATCTTGCTGAAGTATTCCAGTGGTCTTTGGGCTAATGCACTTCCCAAGTTGTATCAAGACGCTTACCATCTGAAATTTCCAGAGGATGTTCTAAATAATCTAGAGTTGCTCTCAGATGTGTGCACAGTGGACCACATATCTGACAACCCCAAAAAGGCCATCCTCTATGCTAAACCCCAAAGACACATTGATGAGAATCTGAACGTTGCTGAGAAAGTCCAGATGCATGATGATGTGAAGACCACAGCTGAACAGTACGAAGAATCCAAAGAGCAGTGTGCAGAAAGCATGACTGTTCCTCCTCTAGTCATTCCAGCAGAAGGATCCCTATCTGTCTTGGTAGTAGAACTGAACAACACTAATGAGGTCATAATTAGGCAAGTTCTTACTTCAGAATCACTTTTTTAGCTCTACTTATAAATCTGCATACTCTTATTGTAGAGCTCTGCCATAAGACAACAGGTGAACAGGGAGCTGCAAGTCTGTATTATTTGCTGATGTTCTTAATGAAACTTAAGGATTCTTTTGTCTGTGTGTTTGAGTAGAAGTTTGAGACTGCTGAGCTGATCAGTTTTATCATTATCTTGTCTGAGAACCAAAGCAGACTCCAACTGTTGGAAGGCAGTGTTAAATAACCGTCATGTAACTCATGGTAGTTTTCGGATACTGCCTTGGTGCAGTATACATCAGTGGCTTTTTTTCCTCCTCTTCTGAAACTGACTTACTACTACCTAAGCGTGACTTGAATGTGTTCAGATTACACTGTGGTTTTCACTTTCAGCATAGATGAGTTTCCATCCAATAGCGAGCTACTAGTGCTTCTTAGTGTTGGTCATTGTTAACCTGTCCAGATTTAGGGAACTGTAAAAAGTGAATTGTCGTTGCTGTGTTATGTGTATGTTATGGTGCTCTGTCAGGAAACATCATAAGCTTAGTATACTTCACTGTTAGTATAAACTTAGAAATCCCACCAGTTCTTTAAAACCTATGACTTTCTGAAGAGTATTTTATTCTAGATTATTGCAAACTGACCTAAATCTTAAATAGCTTTATCTCACCCAAAAAGATGAATTGAGCTGCTATCTGGTAATATACTATATCATCAATCTTTTTTTTCCCTATCCATTTCTGCACTTTCAGCTTACATTAATTCAATTCATTCATTCTCAAAGGTCCTGATTAGATTCTAAGTAAGTATGTGTGCAGTTTACTTCAATCTTCTAACTATTAAACACAATCCTTATACCTTACTACTGGTTAGCAATATTCAACACTAACCTTAAGGTTGAAATTTAGATACTCTTTTTTTGTCTAGCCAACAGCAGTGTATTGGAACACTTAACACAGAACTTCAAGTTTCAGTCTATCGATTTAGTTCTCTGAGCTCGTGGGGTTGTAATTGCTATTAATTCGTAGAGAAAATCCATACTTGGGGATTAGTAAAGAAATTATCATCTGAGAATGTTGTCATCTTTGTTTCAGATCCTAGCACCATTTTATACTGTGCTCTTCCTCAGGCAAGGTGTTTTATGTCATATATTTTAGTGGCCACAGGTGTAACATGCTTATAAACTTCTTTTGTGTATGGTCTTACTGCAAAACATAATTTAAGGCAAGAGCCTTTAACCATCCTTAACATCTCTACTTTCTGAGTGGACAAGTCAATCATTTTAATGAAGGCAAGACTGCCAGAATTTGTGAGTGAGCTTAAGTTTAAAACAAAACAAAAGACAAAAAAAGTGGGGGAAGAGCTACATGGAAAAAAGAGCTGTGTGTTTGGGTATTGCTGTGAAAGCTGTATTTGAGTTTAGGCTGAGATAGGAAGGACAATGATGAAAGATGAATTAGTACCAGCAAAAATTGTCAATTTAAAGACAACTAATCTGTACATAGAGATCCTGAAACAGTTGGATATAATGCTTATTGCATTTTTTGTGTTGAGAAAAGCAGGAACAAACTATCCATCTCTACTTCCAGCTTGCTACGCAGGTGAGATAGTAGACGAAACGTTTTCCTTCTCACTGTATACCTTTTAACTCTGACGGCATTCATAACTTGCTGTATATGTGGGGAAACATATGTTAGCTTTCCCATCTGTTATTTTAAGGAGGTTTTCAGAATTATTTGAGGAGAATTGTTCTCGCTGAAGGTTCGTTTTCTTACCGCTGGCTCCAATACAACGTTAACCATCCAAAACGAACTGTATCTTTGGCAGTATTGTCCCATGTGGATGGGTTCAGAGCACGCTCTGTGTTTGGCTTGGTTCGTGTTCACCTGATCATTGAGTTTTGCCTTTAATATTAGGAATACAAGATCATTTCCACTAGTTCAGAATAATTCTCTCTCTTTAGTTCGATGGGAGTGACATGACCCAAGAAGAGTAAGAAGATCACTTTCCTCCAGCTACTAGCCAAGTTCCTCTTGATACAGCCCAGGATACTGTTGGCTTTCTTTGCTGGCGAGGCACACTGCTGGCTTTTGTTCAGCTTGCTGTCTACCAAGACTCCTGAAGCCTTTTCTGCAGAGCTATTCCCCAGCTGCTCCATCCCCACCTCTGTTGTTGCCAAGGTTTCTTCCTTCTCAGGTGCAGGACATGACGCTTATCCTTGTTAGGTATCATGAGCAATGGGTGACAGGAACCTCCAGCCTGTGCAGATAGGCCTGCCCTCAGGTGTATCAGCTCCACTCCCACCCCCACACTCCAGTTTGGTGTCATGGGCAAACTTTGAGTGAGCCCTCCAATGCCACCTCTGGGTCACTGATAAGGAAGTTAAAACAGGACAGGTCCCACAATAAACCTGTATGGTATTCCACTTGTCACCAGCTTCCAGGTAGAGTATGTCCCATTAATTACTGTGCTCTGAAGTGATCAGCTAACTAGTTTTTTTACTTATCTAGTTGTCCACACATCAGGACTATAATATCTGAACTTGGATACAAAAATACTGTGGGAGATAGTCTCAGAAGAGTGGCAAAGTTGAGGTAAATGGTATCCCCTGCTCTCCCCTCTTATGGAAGTGTACTCATCTTAACACAGAAGGCAATCAGGTTGGTCAGGCACGATTTACCCTTGGCAGATCATAGTGATTTACTGGCTCTTTCCCATCACCACCTTCGTATGCACAGCAGTGTGTTCAAAGAGAACTCTTGATTTTTCCCAGGGACTACAGTGAGGCTGATCTGCCTGTAGTTCCCCAGAGTGATCTTCTGGGCTTTCCTAAAGATGGGAGAAACACTTGGTGTTCTCTTGTGATTGGAATCTTCCCTCAATGTTTGTGACCTTTCAAAGATAATAGCAGCCTTGCGAGGACATCAGCCAGCTCTCGTAGCACTCTTTTGTGCATCCTGTCTGATCCCATGGACTTGTATGGTTCAAATTTTGTCACTTAACCCCTGACTTGATCCTCAGCTGCTGCTGGTATGACTGAGTATCCATCTATCGACCTGTCTGCAAAGTGTTGAGTTGCTTTTGTGGCTTATGCAACAAATACCTCCTGTGAAACATTTGTGATTGTTTTCCTTCAAATATCCTTCAGAGTTTTCCGCCTATATAGTTTTGTTTTTCTTATACAAAGTCAGTTCATGTTGCTCAGATGATATGTGTAGTGTAGGTCATCTCAGGCTGAAAGGTAAAGAAGTTAGTTGGGCTGACCTGTGACAGGTGTGAAACAGAGCAGATGAGTTAGGATGTGTGACTTTTTTTTCCCCTTACTGGTGATCAGTATGCTTCAGATATAACTGATTTTGTGTTCCAAAATGGGCTTTCTTAGTAATAAATGGTGAACTGTCAGATGTGAAATGGAAGTGAAATTGCAAAGGATGTTTCCAGTACATTTCGTCTTTTCTAAGATGAAACAGTGTTTTTTCCCAGAACTAAAGACAGCAATTCTAAATGATTTCAGCATCCTTCCAAGTATTTTCTGTAATTTTTAGATTTTTTTTCCTAGCAGCAGCAAGATTAGTGTGGGTGACTTTTTGCTTGACAGTTTTTAACCAACCATGGAAAAGAAACCTCAGTTCTTAGATTTTACCACTGTCCTGAAAAGGTGATGTCATCTCACCCAACACATCTTCCCCAGTCTGACCACAGACTACAGCAGGCAGAGATCATGACTTCAGTCACCATCGTAACGAAAAGATACAGTAAGCACTTAAAAAGAATTTTCAGCTCTCTAATTTCAAAGCACCATGTACTGGTGGCTGTGTCTTCTTCCCTAGTTTACAGGCAGGCAAGTGGAAGATCACATACCTTTCTGTAGGTGAAACAGGTCTGTGGCACAGAAGAGCTAGTATCTGACTCCTAGTCCCGCTTACAGAATGCGGCCTTCCTGTTACCTCCCGTATTGGCCCAGTGAGGGGGGAGAGTTCAGCTTGGTTAGTAAATAGTGTTTTTATCTTACTCAAGAATGAGGTGGATAGGGGGTCTCTGATAATAGTAACTGTACTGTGGCTCTGTATAATTGCTTTCAGTGTCTATTTGATAAGAGTATCTGTAGGAAACAATGTAGCATGCTGCATCCATGTGAATTGGAACTGCCTGCCATATGACATTCTAATGAGTTGAGACTGCTTTGTTAAAAGTTTCCTCTAAAGTGACAGTTCCCAAATTTTGTCTATGGTTCTCAGATAATACTAAGTAATAAATTTTGTGAACTTCTTGTCTTGTGTTGGTGTACGGTGTTGATTAGTGGCTTCTTCGCCCCACATACTGGGGTGAGTGCATAGAGAGATCTGTCTACGTCATGGGCAAAGTCACTCATCTTTGAGGTCAAACCGGTCTTAAAGGAAATGTTTTTTTTGGCCGTGGAAAGACAATGCTTATGTGGACATGCAGGAAGGAAACAATACGTGGGTTCACTTTTCTTGTGCATGTTTTAGCAGTCACTTTCACTTCCTCTATTTAAGGACTTATAGAAGCTACCAGTTGATGTTCATTTTGGCATCATCGGTAAAATAAAGGTTCCTCTTTGTGTCTTGTTTGAAGAACATCTCTTTACTTTCCTGATGCATGACTGTGTTGCTTGGCTGAAGCCTTTGTATTGGAGTACTAATTAAGACAAAATGGAAAGGTTTTGAGCTATTTCCAATTTGTAACTTTGGACAGTTCTTTAAGAATTCTGTTGTAGGCAGAATGAAAGTGAGATGATTGAAATGTTCATAGATATTTTGTGTGTACCTACAGTAGGGCCAAGGCAGAGATGATATGCTAGGTGCTACAATGGAATTCTCATAAGAAATAATTGTCATTTTTCTTTTTATCCTCCACTACTCTCAGGTTTCCCAGCTAGAGGTCTGGTACTTTTTTCCCACTTCTATGCCTTTGAATAGACGAAATTACAGTTTTTTTCACTATGGGAGTGTAGCTACTCTGTTCCTTTCAGAATGAAGCAACAAAGTTGACATATGAATTAGTTCCAATTGAGAATAAGAATGATGCTGAATGTGTAGCAAATGACTTGCAAAGTCTGACCACCTGCATGTAGATTAACACACACTTTCGAAAAATTATTTTTCAGATTCTTTTAACAAAAAGAAACTTGGAAAGCAACCTCAATCACCTTTGATCAGCCAAAAAGCTTTTTAATGCAATTTTTACCTATTCCCAGAAAGTAGTGAGGCAAGAAGTTCTGAAAAATTCAAGATACTTCCACTTTCTGTTAAGTATCTTTAAGAAACAAATGTTAAGAAATAAACTTTTGAGTAGCACATACCCATCTACCTGTCCCCACTCCAAGTTCCTTATGACGTATGTGAGTGTTTGCATAGAAGCGGAAGGGCTGTTAGTCTTGAAAACATTATATAAATGAGTGAGGTGGTAATAGAAAACCGTCATTTTCATAAAGATGGTCTAGGAAGTGAACAGATGCAACTTAATCATTTTAACAAAGTTAGCACAGTATGTCATAGTACACTAACTGCACTAATTCTGAATATATATCCAATCTTCATAATAAACTTATCTTTTTATAGCATGATATAGCAGTGTGGTAGAAGTAACAGTATTTATCCTTTTACAAACAATTTTAATCTAGTTAAAACAATAGTTGCTAACACAACTTTGGAAATAAGTTTTTCTTATGTCTCTTCTAATTTAACTTGTTCCTGAAATGTTTAGAATGTCCTATTTGGATCTTTCACTAAGTTTACATGCCCTAAATTGAGGATTTATGTGACAAATTGCTTTGGTATGAGCAAGGTCAGCAGTCTGATATCAGAATCATTTTGAAGGCCAAGAAGAGAGTAACGGCAGAAGGTTTTGCAGCTGATCTCTAAAGCTATTTTAAATGCCTTGTGCTTTTTTCAACCTTAGTGAAAACCTGATTGATTAAGCTGGTGTTCCTAATGGCAGAGAAGCTTCAGAGATGACATGCTTGTTCTGTTTTGTACCTGGTCCCAGATGCTACTCTGCTCTTCTGGTCAAGTTCCTCTCCATTATTGTAATAAGTAACAGCTTTTACTAGAAAGCTAATTGAGCATGTTAGACTTTGTGTTACTGGACCATATTTAGCTCTGGGCAGGACTAGTTTTTGTATGAACTACTACTTTTCTGTAGTGCTCTTAATCAAAAAAAAGGTTTCAACACCAATGTGCTTAGAAACCATGTGTTTATAATTTATTCACATTTTGAATATTCATATAAGTGTTCATATGAGTGTTCTTATGTTTTTATTAAGCGTTTTGTAATCACATCCTGACTCTGATGTTTTATTTTTTCTGAAATACTGTAGGTACGTGGGTAAAGATTATTCTTCTGCCCAGGAACGAATGGAAGATGAGATGAAAGAATACTATAGTCAGAATCCCACAGTGTCCCTAGTTCAGTCTGTAAGTGTTGGTCAACTTGTTGCTGTACATGTTGAGGAAGATGCCTGGTTGCGTGCTCAGATAACTTCTGTGGAAGACAACAGAATAAAGGCAAGCAGCTGTTTATTCTGGCACTTGATAAACTTGAAACAGTTCTGTTTTTTAGATAAGCAGTCAGTTCTTAAACCTGCTGCAGTAGCAGTCTCTCCTTCCCTGTCTGGAAATATTTCTGTTTTCAGTTGCATGAGAAACTAAGAATTCTTTTGGAGCTGCATGATTGTCTAAATTAAATGGTCTTTCAATTTTTTGGGTTCTCCCTCCAGCCCCATAAATACTTTGTTTTAGGGGGGTTGTTTTTGTTTATATGGAGCTGGGCACTTCAGCACTTCTGTACTGGTAAATGTACCTTTGATAATCTTATGAAGAATAGGTGTAATAGTGCTGTGTGGAATGCGTCATGGGAAGGGAAAGTGAAGAGGGAAATTCATATGCAAACAGGCTAAAGACCTATGACCTAATTCTAGCATGAAGTCTTGCACCAAAGTATCTATCACATTCATTAAACAGCAAGACAGTGGAAAGGATATAGTAGTGTTTAAACTTCTTTGTTCACCTAAATAGACTGACTGGGTATTTTAGGAGTTATCAGCATGCTTGTTAGCTAAACACTTTTAATTGAGATTTAACTCCTCTGTTAAACCTTTCCTGAGCCAAACAGACTCTCTTGTTCATCTGCTACAAAACTAGAACATATAATTGAATTCTAAAAACAACTTCAACTTCTCAGTTATTCCTTATTTAATCAAACTTTTTATTTTGCATTCCCTAGCTGGGTGACTTTTCACCAAGATTTGCTTTACCTACTTCTAACGTTGATGCATTTTATAAATGTTTAAATAGCACATATGTTAGAATTAATTATTCTGAAAGTTAGCGTGATACTCTTCAGCTGAAATTTGAAGGGTAAGGGAAAGGGTCAAAACTCAATTTTGTAAAACGTTGTTGGTTTCGGAGAAACGGAAAGGGTAGTGATAGCAAATATGCCTCTGACTTCTCTGAAGCCTGAATAGCGGCAGAAAGAAGGCCACTGCTGCACTGCAGCATTTGCAGTCATCCTCAGACCTCCCTTTGGCAAGTTTGGTATGCAGACACTTTACGTGATAAAGTTTAGAAAACAGCTATAAAAAGCCCTGTCAAAGTCTTGTTTCTCTTGCCTTAGCCCTGATTACCTGTTCCCAATCAGCAGTTTCCCTAGTGATTTCCTTTAATGCTTGCGGTATTTGTAGCGAAGTTGTTAGAAGCGTACATCAAAATGATTGTCTTAATGCTACAAAAACAAAAGGCAAGTTGTAGAATGGCACTGAAATGGAATTTGAGTTTTCAACACTTTCAAAACTTTAAAACTCAAAATTGCCTATTTATTACTGTGATTTGTGTGTGTGCGTGTGTGTGTGTTTTTTTAATGCAGCTTCAGGTAATGTGTGCTGAGTCTTTCCAGCACTCTAAGAACTGACATTCTGTGGAATGGTTGGAGAGGATAGTTTTAGGGATCTTGAAAAAGGCTTTCCTTAAACTCTAAAAATTCAAGCAGTGAAAGAAACTGAGGCCAAAGGCAATATATAGTATTAAATTACTGAGAAGTGGCTTACCTATTCAGTGGATGCACAGCAAATGTGATAACTGGCTATATTTTGTGTAGACTCAGGGACGTATACTTAAAATGATATTAATGAATTTGTTTTTATTTTCTTTTCCATTATCAGGTGTGCTATGTTGATTATGGCTTCAGTGAGGTTATTGAAAAGAACAATGTGTACAAGCTAGGCAAACAGTTTTATTCACTTCCATTTCAGGCTGCAAAATGTAAATTGGCAGGTAAGAGAAAGCCACTATTGACTATACAGCTTGCTGTTATGTGACTGGCAGATTGAAGCATCCCAACTTGAGTGTTGGGATCCTTATATATAATAACTCTAGGTTAAATTCTGTCCAAGACAGTTTAGTCTAAGCAGATGCAAGTAGGCACGGAAGGAAGGAAAAGGAGAGCAAAATAAGCAAGGAAGAAGGTGGCATTTTTTATTTAAAAAAACAAAACAAAACTTTACATGGGAGCACCCCAGTATCTATCTAATGGAACTTAAATTGTTTCTGCACTTAGCTTATATAGAATGAGCTTGGATATTTTTTCCATTTAATATATTTATGCCTAAATTAAATTTAAAGGAAATAGTTGGTGGTGTATGAAACGATGTACTGGCACATTCCGTATTCCAGAAATAAGGCATATCTGTTGGCCAGTTGTGGCAACGCTCCTGAATGTGATCCTTCCCCTCTCAGTATTTGCAGACTTCCTAGACTGTGGGACATCTTCCCAGAACTGGCTGTTTCTAACTTTTACAAATTTTATTTCAAATGTACGGAACTGCCAGGAAGGAGCTGCGCTTTTTTTTTTTTTTAAAAAAAAACCTTGGCTGCACCTTTCACTCATTTGCCTTGATTCTTTCTGCAGAAGGTTGGGTTTTCTTCTTTTTGAGATGGATTTCTGCGTTAGAGGGAGAAATTGGGCAGAATACAAGTAGGGATGCAATATGACTTTCTAGCTACATGCTGATTCTTGAAAAGACTACTGTTACAAACATAAACCTGGTTATTATATTTTCCTTCAAATAAAGTGAGAAGTAAAAAGTATGGCTTGTCTTATAGGACTGGAATTCTTCAGTGATGATCCTGTCTTAGTAAAGACTGTGGAATCGCAAACTTGCAGTAAGATATTTGCTGTGGAAATATTGGAAAAGAGTGATATTCCTCTTCTTGTTCTTTATGACACGTCTGGAGAAGATGATATCAACATCAATGCTACCTGTCTGAAGGCGTTGTATGACAAGTCCCTTGAATTGCACCTACAGGTATTTCTTAATTCATTAGAAATTTCTGACCGCCCTGGTTTTGGTTGCATAAAAACAGTTTTTAGAAATTTACTAAATTTTTGTGTATGTGCTTTTCCTTTTCTTGTCAAAATCTTACCACTGCAGGTAGACGCGTTATATACAAATGTCAGAGTAACCAGTGTTTCTTCTGATGGAAGCTTATATTGCCAGGTACCGTCTAAAGGCTTGTCCAGGCTCTCTGAAATCTTGCAGAAGCTGGAAGACTACTTCCGTTACAAGGTCTGTGATGAGGAGGGAAGTGGTGAAGTAATGTGGTATTTCTTCAGTTTATCAGTCCTTTTTCTCACACAAGTTCGTTTCTGAGGTAGCTACAGACCATAATGAAAATGGCTCCCAATTCTTTTCTTAGTCTTTGAGAGACAGCCTTAAGAGTGAAGTTTCTTTTGATTCTCTTGTTCAAAATGTTGTCTCTAACGCTGTCATCTCTCTAACGCTGTCAGTAACTACTTATAATCTTCCCTGAATAGTTTGAATAGTTAACAGAATGGTTCTTAATGGGCAACTTCAAGGGGAAGCTTCAGAGGAAGCACTGCTTCATCCAATATAAAATCTGTGTAGATACTGCCATATCCTGTTCTCTGGAGATCTGACTTATACGATGGAGTTAAGGTGCATGAACAGCCTGGCCCATAGCACAGTGTGTGCAAAATGTCAAAGAGCAGTGTAACCAAGGTCTGTTCTTTTTAATCGGGCTTCTTTGTGGGTTGTATGGTCTTGATCTGATGTGCTGCCTACCTGGTTCCTGTACCCTGTAGTTTTTGAATGTACTGACCAATTTCAACCAGCCTGAAATATAGGCAGTGTTCTCAGGAGTTAAGTTGCCCTAAAGTAGGCTGTGGGCCCAGATGTCTGTATACAGGCATATACAGCAAACCTTATTACACAGAAGAGAATTTAGGCAAAAGAAAAACATTCTAAGAGAACCTAAGTTGTACAACATCCAACTGAAGCATTGGAGAATCTAAACATGAAATGTAGATCCTTAAATTCTGGCACTGTTTGCTCCACCGCTTGCAAAATGCACGTTTCACGCTTCAAAATGCTTCAGCACTTCAGCATTTTTCAAAATGTTTTTAGGTGTACAAATTGAGCTTTAGACCTGTTGTGAGACGCAAACTCTGGAAATTATCTTGAACACATTCAGTTATCAAGATTCAGTTTCAAGCAGGCTGAATGCTGAAGAAAAGATTAAAGCTTTGAATGGTTGAACTATATCAAGATAGCCAGCCAGCTATTTAAAAGGTCCATATTTTCTGGGCTTAAAGTATGTGAGGTGATAGTTGCTATTAAAGACAGAACTTGACTTTCAGACTCTTTAAATGTCGGTTTGTGTTTGGGCGTGAAAGAAACAATACTAACTTCACAGGGTTTTTTTGCCTGTAAACTTAAACTAAGGTGTTCATGGATTCTCTTGTGCCTTGTTATGTATTTAGAGTCGTCATGACGAAAGTCATCCCCGTGAGGCTTTCATTTGAGGCAGTAGTAAATTTGGGTCACTAAATATCTGAGTGAATGATGCGTTCTTGAGTAAAAGATGGGAGCTTCACCAGTTTTTTGTCACAACTCTGCACAGCTCCTGCTTTTCAGAATATCAATAGTAATAGTTAGTGAACTCCCAAAAGGGTGGGGAGGGTAGTGTCTTTGGCTTGGAGGTTTTTCGGTCCTGGTAATTTACATCCTTTCAGTTCTCCTGTAGGACGTGTTGCTAGGAATTACAGCTTTATTGATTGGGGAAGCTTAAATAATGTGATACCAGCTGCTTCTGAGGCTGGAAAGAAGCTTTGTCTTTGAAACTGAGCTGTTGCTTCTCAGAACTGTATGTTCTGTTGATGGCTTTTGTAATGATTTGTTGTGGGCCAGATAGTAATGGCTCTCTGCATTATAACTGCTGTTTTTATATTTGCAGGCATCCGAGTTTAATATATCACTACCTTTCTGTGGCAAAATCTGCTTGTTTCCTTATAAAGGAAAATGGGCACGTGTAGAGGTAAGAAGTACTCAAAAAGTAGCGACAGTTTCCCTGCATAGAAATGGCTCTTCCTTTTTGTTTAACCAAACCTGGATCCTTGTTTTCCCTGAAGCTGGTTATAGTGCAGACATTTCTGTTGCATGGGCAAACTTATCTCAGGTTTGTCCTTAAATGTGGAGTGATTCTGTAAAACAGTTATTTGTACGAATTTGCACAACGCTAGTTCACCCATATGCTTCCCTTTTTTTCCTTACCTTATTTTTTAGCCTTAAAATGACACTATTCCTTTCTCATTTCAGATAACAATTGTTCACAGTAGTAGGGCACTTGATGTGCAGTTCATGGATACTGGAACAGTTGCATCTGTAAAAGTGTCAGAGCTTAGAGAGATCCCATCACAATTCTTGAGAGAAGTAATTGCAATACCTCCTCAGGTATAAAAACATGTTAAAGCTAATCTATACTAGATCTCTTGGCAGTGTTTGTAGTGCTGCTGCTACTTCTGGGTTTATATAATTATTTTTTGTTCAATAGCATTCAACATTGGAGTGTATTTCATTGTGTAGCTCTGCCTGAATTACTTCATAGTTTAGCCTTGTGTATTGAGAAGATGTTGCAGTAGTGGGGTGCGAGTAATGATATTGGTTATGCATGTTCCTCTGTCTCTATTTGTAATACATTATTGAATCTATCTGCATTAATAAAGTTTATGTAAATAGGAAGTTGAGTAGTACAATGGCTATTAGGGTTCCACGTTATTAAATTGTACCTTCTATACTTAATTATGTTCTTAGGCTATAAAATGTTGCCTAGCAGATCTGCCTCTCAGCACTGGCATGTGGACTCCAGACGCTGTACTGTGGCTGAGAGATACTGTGTTGAATTGCCCTGATTTTAGCATGAAGGTAAATAATCAAAATGACTCTTGTCACTTGAAATCTACTAACCTGAGGAAAAAGCTCTGACCGTTCATCGATACTTTTTCTTATAAATGGCACACAAATATGTCATTTATTTATATGTATATATAATATACATATTGCCATATATAAACCAGCTAACTATGTGTTATACGTATGCATATACAAATATATGATATATAAATATATACTTTTATATAAAGCATATAACACTACCTACATATGTGTATATAAAAAGTTTGTAACCAGCAGTAGGAATGAAGTGTGAAGTCCTTGCCTTATGACATTTGACATAAAACATACCTGCTTGAGCTTGCAGAAGCTGCTTTTTCTTCTCAAGAGTTTGGTAACTCATTTCCTTTCACATTTTCCTGTGCCAGTCCAAACAGAAGCTAGAATCATTTCACCAACAAATAAGGAAAAAGTCCAGTTGTTCATTTTTCGCCAGGTAAAAGGATATAAATATTGGGAAACTCCTAAGTTCTTTTCTGACCTCTTAAGTGAAGATAACTTTCTCTTTCTGATCTTGGAAAGCAGCTTTATTTTTGTTTACATGTTTTTCTAGTCTAGTATGACTTAGCGTATATTACTATATACTTAGCTTCTGGTCTCTCGGAACTAAAATTATTTCCACTTGCAATGTGTTGCATCTAGTTCAGTTAACTGGAAACACTTTTCTGAACAAAATCTTTTTTCCTAGATAGATGCTAAACAAAGCTAGAAGTAGTAATATCTTATGCAAACAAAAATTATGTACTTTGTCAAACTAAAATTTCAGTGCCTTTTTTATCAATAATGCTATCATGTCTAGCATAAATGAGAAAAAAGAAAGGAGAAAGTATTTTTATGCAGTGCTTGAAAATTATGCATAATAGAAAAAATTCCAGGTTTATTTTTCTCTATCATTAATATAATAGGCTTCATCTCTCATAATGACAGGAAGAGAATTCTGAAGGATTAGGGGTTAATCTTTGATACCATTATTTAATTGTTCAGAACTATATGGACACTAGCTAATGTTGTCACGAAAATTATAATCATGCACATGATCCAAAAGCAATGCTGTGGCAGCACCTATTGGGTGGAACAGAACTCAATTCAAGTTTTGTACTTGCTCCTCACTAGTGGAATAGCTGTAACTGCTCTTTTCAGCTGCTGTGCTGCTTACTGTCCGACAACTCTGTTAAAACACCTGGGACAACTTCAAACACTCTTGCACATAGTGTGTGATGAATTGTTACGGTGTTTCAGTGAAAGGCCTTAGTCTTCTGTGCAAAACCAGATCTGCATTTAAGATTCATTAACTGGAAGCTAAATGGCATTTTCTTTTTAAAGGTGTCTAAACTGGATGGCTCAAAGGGAACTGCGCACGTTTACTTGTTTGCTCCAGAGAATTTCCCGGATGTGGATCGTAGCGTCAATCGTCAGATCATAAATGCAGACTTGTGGAAACATCAGAAGGATGTTTTCTTGAGTGTTACAGCTGGTGGAACGAGCTCCGCAGAAGTGACAAGTGAAACTGTTTCAGCTTTGGAATTAACCGGACTAGGTCCTGCGAAGAGTTTCACTGATTCGGTCAAGCCTGCTTTAGAACGCAGTGGTGCGGTGCCTACTATTGATGTGCCTCCACCTCTACCATTGTCAAAGCTTGGCGAGCCCATGGATGTCTACATCTCGGTTGCTTGCCATCCTGGTCACTTTGTTGTCCAGCCTTGGCAAGAGCTACATAATCTGGAAGTCCTTATGGAAGAAATGATGCTATATTACAGTATGGCGGAAGAGAGGCCTGTGAACATTGAGAAAAACAAGGTGTATGCAGCTAAAGTTGAAAACAAGTAAGTACATATTTGTTAAAACCAAATTCTTTGAAGGCAAGCTTTTACCTGCAGTGATACTTAAATCTTAGTAAATTATCATCCCCAGCTCTCTTGGAGTTAGCGACGGAATTACGCATTTCTCATTAAAGCTCAGCCCTATGACAGTTTCTTTGGGAAACGCTTTATGTCTGCACTGTTGACAAGGTGGCAGATGTCTGATATCTGAGAGTCACATGACTGGGATGCTGTCATGGATGGATGGCTATGTGCTTTTTAGGAAAGACAGGCCTGGAAGGCGAGGTGGTGGAGTTGTTCTTTGTGTGAGGGAGCAACTAGAATGTATGGAGCTCTGCCTCGGGGTGGATGAAGAGCAAGTTGAGAGCCTATGGGTAAGGATTAAAGGGCAGGGTAACATGGGTGACACTGTTGTGGGGGTCTACTACAGGCCACCTGACCAGGAGGAAGTCATCGATGAGGCCTTCTACAGACAGCTGGAAGAAGCCTCACG